ACTGCTTACCTCACCAGCCAAGCAGCCATTGACTATTGAACAGGAATTGACGTACCCTTGCAGGGAGCATAAAGTCTTCACTATGTGGGAGGTGAGCAGACGACATCAGAAAACATCCCTTTTTTGTCCGTGGTGCATTATTTACGCAGAACTGTAATTTCTTTCACTGCAACCTTTCAGTTCCCAGTTACCTAAATGGTGCAACATATCTTAAAATCAGTTCGCCAATTGTCTTAAACATTGCGAACTTTAATGGCTCCGTATTTTATTTGCGGCAGCTAGGTGAAGGAGAGCAAGCAAACGAAGCTAACACCTACATTTCAGGGTTATTAAGGCCGGTCCACATAGAACTTTCGCGTTGGCTTTGGCGTTGGCGTTGGTTTGACAGAACGCACGTTAAAAGTATGCTTGCTGCAATGAACGCTTGGCAGCGAATGCTNACGCCTCTAGGATCCAATACTGCTTACCTCACCAGCCAAGCAGCCATTGACTATTGAACAGAAATTGACGTACCCTTGCAGGGAGCATAAAGTCTTCACTATGTGGGAGGTGAGCAGACGACATCAGAAAACATCCCTTTTTTGTCCGTGGTGCATTATTTACGCAGAACTGTAATTTCTTTCACTGCAACCTTTCAGTTCCCAGTTACCTAAATGGTGCAACATATCTTAAAATCAGTTCGCCAATTGTCTTAAACATTGCGAACTTTAATGGCTCCGTATTTTATTTGCGGCANTTACCTAAATGGTGCAACATATTTTAAAATCAGTTCGCCAATTGTCTTAAACATTGCGAACTTTAACGGCTCCGTATTTTATTTGCAGCAGCTAGGTGAGGGAGAGCAAGCAAACGAAGCTAACACCTACATTTCAGGGTTATTAGGGTATTTGCGTTTACTTTTAGATTCAGATCATCAACGGTGAACATATCATAACTTCTTTATATTGGAATTTATTCTACAATCAATCCTATATCATTTTTGCTATGACCCACCTGTTTAGAAAATTTCGTTAACTCCTTTAACGTAAAATCTGCCTTTTGAGCCATCAATCGAAAGTTCCAAAATGCATTCAATTGAGCTCTGCAGTTGCGGCATACAATGGCTGGCAAGCCATCATTTCGTGAAATCTAGAAAAAATAAATTAATTGTTTTACATTAGCAACTATTATTTTTAAAGCTTCAATTATATTTTGTTTGCGTTTAATAGGTATATATGAATGAATGTATGAACATATTTATCACGGTTAAATCTCATTATCAAATCCTACTAAATATGGCCACCACTTTGATACTTGGCAACNGTATTTGCGTTTACTTTTAGATTCAGATCATCAACGGAGAACATATCATAACTTCTTTATATTGGAATTTATTCTACAATCAATCCTATATCATTTTTGCTATGACCCACCTGTTTAGAAAATTTCGTTAACTCCTTTAACGTAAAATCTGCCTTTTGAGCCATCAATCGAAAGTTCCAAAATGCATTCAATTGAGCTCTGCAGTTGCGGCATACAATGGCTGGCAAGCCATCATTTCGTGAAATCTAGAAAAAATAAATTAATTGTTTTACATTAGCAACTATTATTTTTAAAGCTTCAATTATATTTTGTTTGCGTTTAATAGGTATATATGAATGAATGTATGAACATATTTATCACGGTTAAATCTCATTATCAAATCCTACTAAATATGGCCACCACTTTGATACTTGGCAACTCTAGTGGGGGCAATCTCTGCAGACTTGTTATCGATACTTGCACAACAACGATAACACACAGCGTTATTTACCAACAAAAGGAGATTCACTGCACGTGCTGTACTGTACTGATATCACTTGATAATTTCATCAGATGCCGATATGATAACTCCTTTCGAAGGCACACATATGCAAGCACACACTAGAGCTGCACGAAATGTTATCTTCCAAATGAAATTTTCACTCAACACATTTTTTTCATTTCACATGCTGGTTATACAAATATAATTTTTTATATTAGAATTAAATTTGTTGGAAAAACGTGCAAATACACAGGTTTACCAGTTGTGCAAATATAAATAAGCCGGCAACCCTGTTTGTTTAATTATTGTCAGTGGTGTCGTAATCGGATCTCTTACTTATTACGTACCTTTATAGAGAGACAGCTGAGTATTTGAATGGTAATATGTGGTGATGAATCATCATGGTTTTCCTTCTTGAACACCTCCTCTCCCAGAGACATGCCATCATTGCTTTTGCCTTCTTCGTTATCATTGGATAATGTAATCTTGTGTTTCACATGTGTGGCGTTTTCTGCATGTATTTGTGTATTAGACGTTGAAAAGCCCCCCGCTTCGTTATTTTCCAATGATTTGGACATCAATTGACTGATTCCATATGTAGAAGTATCAGTTGCAACAATGGAAGAAGGCACAATCGGCACGAGTGTACTTAGATTATTATCTGATATCTCTTCCTCACTCTTGAAAACTGGTACAGGCGATTGAGATTGGTTATCAGAGCCACAATCATTTTTTGTACTACAACTGCTCTGTGGCCTCCCAAATTGTTGAGGATGAATATGATGGTGGTGATGGTGATGGTGAAACTGTTGGCCGAGGATATTTGCATTTGCAGGGGCTTCTTTTGTTTGAATATCATTGCCAAAAGGCGCTGCCGTCGTAGTTGTAGCTGTTGCTGATGATGAATTAAATATTTGCAGCACCTCAACGTCATGCTCTTTGACCAAAGTAAGGCATAAACGACAAACTTGATAGAACTTAGGTGGTACATTACACATAGTTATTGGATTATGGGAAATTATTTTCACACAATTTAAGCACTTCACAATCTTAAAACAATATACAAAGTTATAAATTAATTAATAAGATTAAAAAAAGAACGCCTTTTTTAACACATCCGAACAGATTCACAATAAAATCTAATAATATGAAGGCGCTTTGGCTATACAACTATTGTACGTTCAGCCAGAACAAGACATTTTGAGACATTTCTCTCACACACAAGAAAATCCAGAGTTTCCGTTACACGAAAATAACTCAACGCAATGCATGCAAACACCAACACAGAAAAATCGTGATAAAATCTAAACGTGTACACAAATATGTAATTATCACACATTCACATTCAGTCCAACAATCTATCTATCTCTGCATATATAAAATAATACAACTGGTATATGCTCTTGTTTTGTGTTTATTGAACGAGTTGATCGAATATCCGCTTTTTTGTTTTGTTGAGAGCGCTTACGCATCTGCATCATATCAAACGATGTTGCCAACATTTAACAACTCCGCGCGTTGCAGCAGCAGCACTTCTTATCGTCCTTATCACTTCTTACTAACACTAAATAGATACTTAACGGGTATATATTCCCTTTATTTCAACGTTTTGGTAGGTAAAAAACTTTTCTCAACCGATAGATTACAACGATTTTTCTACATCGTCAACAGAAACTATAGTTTTTCGCGTATTTGAGGCAGACCGAATCAATCACCATGATTACAAGGCAACGAACAACACCAATCATGTACAGTATTGCCATGTGCCAGGGATAATTCCGCAAGAACCCTGCCATTGCAGGGAGCCCAACTTCAACTGTTGCGCATCTGGGATCCACAAACACCCTGTTGCTAATTTATTTTTTCTACAGTGACTTCTGACTGCACCCTGTAGTAGAAAAGGACGCGTTTTCGTGAGAAAATTATATATTTTCATGGGTATATGATTATTAAATACATAATTTAAAGGCTTAAATTTAAACGTTCATTTACTTATAACTTACTTGTCAAAAAATATTCAACAATTACAGTTTTCAGTTATTCCACACCCTGTTTTGTTTCGCAATCGATTTTTTCCCGAATTCGCAAGATAAGTAAACTTCAAACGTCTTTTTTGGCGCGTTTAATCTACATTCCACTAGAAAATTTTCCTCATTTTGGTGATATCTATTTGTGCCGGAAGATTAATTGCTGAAGGTTTTGCAAAATGAAGTCACCTAAACTATATGTAATAAAAAGAGGTAAATTTAGTTGTACAAAATATTTATAAAATGCTAATAATACCTCATGGTTGAATATGAAGCAGCAATTGTGCAGTTTTAGAAGCCTTTAAAAGGACACCAAACGTATTGGTGTAAAGAAAGCTTTATATTTGGCTCATTGGAAGCTTGGGGTTATTTTTTTACAGAAGTATGTCGTCTTCGAATAGGAGTTTGCTATTAGCAACATTAATTGCTGATAAGTCTTGTGAAATTGAAATTCGCTTCAAAGTTGCATAGCAAAGGAAGTGACAGAAAGTTGCGCCGCACGCTTGAATGACAAAGCGTTTGCTAGCAAGAAACGCGTAGAAGCGGGCATGTTAATTACCTGCAGTTAGGCATTGATTTAAAGATAAGTTTACCTACTCCAGGAATTTCGGGTACATCATAACCTTTATCAGAAAGGAGTTCTACTACAACTAAAATTGAGTACTAGTTGAATCGTTTTTGTCCACTATAACATACATATGTTGGGTCAACCGAGATTAACCTCTAAAACTTGTGAAATTATTCCTTACAGATGGACGAAAGGAGGACATACATTTTGATAAAATTACTTCACGTGTGCAGAAGCTTTGCTATGGACTCAACATGGATTTTGTTGATCCGGTAAATTCTTATTTTTTTTTTTTTTNATATGGCAGATATGGTTTGTTCCCTCGAAAATAAGGACGCCTGCATGTCTTGCGGATCGTAAAGTGGATATTTCTATGTTGAAGATGTTTTGTATTTGTTCTCTCGTAATATTTCAAAAATAAATTGTATTGTTAAGCATAAGTTATTAAAACAAAAACTTAATTGTATTTTATTTCCTTCTACCGTAACCTATGAAGGTAGTTTAACTTGTCGCAGGGAAGAAGGGTCCGATAGAGTAAAAATTTTTACCACACTATCTAATTTACAAATTTTATACAGAAAAGCAAATAGAACTGGGAAAACCTACAAAGAAAACACAATCATACTTATCGGTATTTTTTAATAGGTGTGATAAAAAATCTTAGGTGTAAGCGCATATCACAAATATGTGGTGTCTTATTTTGTTTACACATCAGCGAGTCAGCCACGGTAATTTTTTTTCTTTAAAATGCATTTTTGTTGGCTTTTTACTATTCTCTTGGTAAATTTAAAATTTTAACAAATATGCATTACTGGGGTATTTTAACAAAATGAAAGAGATTAAACCTCGTCTGCAGGCAAATAATCGTTGGTTACATAGTTGATAATATTTGATGCCGTATTTTCACTAATCCATAAAAGTCCAATGAAAAGCGCCTCCACAACTCCAACCGTCATTCCTCCAACAACATCCAATATGTAGTGACGGCTGAGTAATACCCTCGACAAACACACACTCAACGTCCACGAAACAATAGGTATCCATAGTATTTCCCAGACAGGGTTTAGCACGACGAAAAACATGAGGATGAATGCTGACCTGGACGCATGCCCAGAAGGAAAACTAAACTTGTCAGGTCCCAAAGTAAGCATATCCGAACACACTGAGGGTCGCCTACGTCGGAATATAGCTTTCAACACGGCAATTACTATTATATCAAAAATTAGGCCAAAGAGTAGATTTAACTGCATTTGGTAGAGTGATTTGCTGTCCGCAATCCAAATAAAAGCCAACCAACTGGTCAACCAAGCGATGCCATTGCATGAGATTTCTAAACTTTTGCAATACCGACGTAGTTTTACAAACGGAATATATTGGAAGACAAACGTAACCAATTTTTTCGTCCATATCACATCTTGTTTTAATACTTCTTCCAAAATTAGCGAACGTTGTTTTGTGCCCTGAAAAATACAGATTTTGAATAACGTGAGAATACGCATATACTTATGGAAATAATAATCTGCGTAAATGAATCAGGCCGGGCTGCAAAACCTGGCTGATGATAGTGCAACGGACTTGTAGAGGGAATTTATATCGCCTTATTTGAGCGGCTTTACAACAAAATATTTACGTGGCGACAACAGTAATTGAATAGTAAACTGCCACCAAAGTGTCCACTTAAATATCGTACCTACCATTATTTATTAACT